GTCCGGATTGGTGGTGGTAAGGTCAAGTCGTATTATGAGATTTGGGATGCTTGCTCATCAATGACCTCTGGAGGCTTTCGAATATTCAAAATCACTGCCCCGTTGTTTTGGTTTTCACCCCGCATGTGGCTGATACAAAAAGAGCTTGAGAAACGAAAATGGCCCATTGTTGTGAAAAACCGCGTTCGTTTTAAAGTTGATAAGCAGACGCTTAGAGGCTGATTTTGTGGGTACACACCGTGCCACTGAGTTAAGCCTAATCTTCGCTTCTAAACCATTGCTCTCATTATAGGTTAGAGACAGAATGCTATTGGAGACCATCTCATTTTGCATTTACTGGTTCCATATTTAGAAGAGTTAGTGAAGTTTCGGAAACGGGCTTGTTTGCTACGTTGTCTTTTATTGCATTCACCAAGTCTATTCACTCAATACCGATTTGTCTAAATATCGTTCTTAGAGGTTGTTTCTAATTTTTCGGGCCGATAGTGTCGACGCGAGTCAGTATGCAACTTGGCAAATTAATCGATACCTTTCCAGAAAAATTTTCTATCCCGTTTAATTGTTGATTCCTAAGTAAACAGCAGGTTCGAATGAATATTCATTTTTACCTTAGTACTCCCTGTGAATAGTCGTCTGTCTTATGTGTTCTTCACTGCCATTGACCTATCCTCAGAATCTATTTCGATGCACAATTTTGAGCTCATACATTCGGGAAACCTCAAGTGTGTAGTTGGGTTACAGTGGAAATAAGTGAGTGGATTCTGTAATTAACTCAGAAGATAGGGTAATCTGCACAATTCATCACGTTAGCTTCTCCACCTATTCTGAGCGGTACTTACCTTTGCCATTGATGTCTCCATTTTCCTTTAGTGAATTAACTAGTGTAAATCAAATGTAAACAATTATTAAGGCTGAGGGTGAGCATACGGTTCAGATGGAGCGTGTTAGATCGTTGTGTTCAGATTCGAGTGCAACCTGCGATGCGATATGACGGTCTGCACATATATTTCACACATTTCTGAGTCCAGACTGTGCCAAACAAACAGGAATCTCCATTTTAAAAAGTTACGATATTTGCTTGTGGACGAAATACTGCCAGGTTGCTCGGACCATGATGAGTTTCCTTGGTGAATTCACAGTCGGAGCCTTCGGCTAGCCAAAGTCTGACTCGCAAGGTAGCAGGGCGGTGTAAAAAACCTAGCTCATTCGGGCCGATGTCTAGTTCGTGGGATCTTACACCCTTTGGACGGGTTCAATCGTCCAAGGCGCCCAACCGAGCCAATGAACTTTGCCTCAACCAGGGACGTGTGGTTCATACGCCTGGCTTGCAGTCAGGGTTTTTAGCCAATTCCCCTAGCTGAACTGCCAGTGGTTCGCTAAACCAGTTATAAGTCCGGATGTTGGAGTTCGTTCCTCTCACTTTGGTGGGAAAACACCTCGGTCACGGGAAGGCTGTAAGTAGAGCTTTCTCAGTAGAGGCTTGGTCTTATGGGTGTAAGGAAAAGGTGACTAACCGCCACCCGAGACATCCACTCCCGACCGTACTGAGACTTTCAGAATGTTGGTGACGTGCATTGTTGGACCACCTATTTTGCATCAACGACACTATATTTTTTTCAATTGAAGATGTCTGAATATCAATTTAAGATGTCATGTGGATAGTACAACAGTCCGATTGCTCCATCGTTTTACATTGTCTTGTAATTTTGTGATGATCTTGTTTCCACGTACAGTCCACCCGTGTGGTGAAGGCACGCCTACTGTACAGTCGAAGTTCACCGAGCCGACTAAGACTCTCGGGCGCCGCCTTGTGGAATCATGACACTAACACCTTGGGACTATGAAGCGATTTTGAGCCAACAGAGTTTCTTGGGTTTCCACCCAAAGAATGGTGTTTGTGACATTCCCGTTCACATGAAAAATGGCTTCACCCGTGAAAACAGTTTGCCACATCCGAGTGTGTCAGGTACCGTAAGCAAAATTCTAGTCGGCGCTCAAGATCCTCGACAAGAACATCCAAAGCGAACCGTTTATTCCCGAAAACCGAGGAGGTGAAACGGTGCTTAAGTATCCCAACTGTTACCATTCTGAAGGTGGAAGAAAACCATCTTCGCCGTATTTTGCTATACAAGTAGCAGGATGGAAAACACAATGAACAACAACTATAAAATGAATATGCATTTTTCCGTAATATTTGTTCTCTCCTCCGGAATTTTATTTCCGACGTAGTCAGCAAGATCGTTCAACGCGGAAAAAACGAGTTGGTAAAACTGCAAGGAGTTTTTCCTTGACCTATATCATTGGATATTGTAGTCCGTACTTAACACAAGTTCAAAGTTTGATTATGATTATCCGTTTGCCGAACCAGCTTAGAAAAATAGTGCGTGTATCTTAGACGAGTCAAACGTTGACCCAGTGTTATCATCGCTTGAACTTTTTCCATTCCAAATTACCCACATGGCGCATCGTTCCATAACGGATTCTCCTGTATTGATTCTCTACCAACAGTTGAGCAGCATCGGATTTATAACTTAACATCCTCCTACGCCGACCCGAAAGTCACACGATCGATCGACCGGCCTCCGAAAGCCTTAGTATGGTCAGGGGTGGGTAGCTAGGGTTGCGGCTGATCAACCTTCTCTTGCACCTCACGAAATGCTCCCTTACGATCAAGAGTCTCAAATAGCCGCTGCTAACGAAGCCCTACTCACTACCGTCTCGTGGCGGAGGTGTTTTCTCACCAAAGTGAGAGGACTAAAAGCCGACATCCGGGGCCATAACCGGGTTGGTGGACCACTGTTAGTCTACCTAGGGGTGTTGGCCAAAACCCTGATTCCGAACCAACCACTAGGAGGCGAACAAAGCACACCCACACCTTTTCGGTTGTGGTAGTGGTCACCGGCTCGATTGGGCATCGATGTGTATTTGGCACTGTCGTACTATCCACATAGCGACATGACATCTTAAATTGATATTCAGATATCCTAAATTGAAAAAGGTATCGTGGTTCAAGTAAAAGTTGTTTTTGTAAATGCAAGATTGCTTCTTATTTGTTATTTATGGACGAAATCTTCAGTGAAAAGGTTTTCAAACTAGGTTTGCTGTTGATGCACGTAAAATAATCATTATTATGCAAGGCTATTAAGTGGCTATCCGAAACACGAAAAAGCCTGGTGTAAAGTAGAAAATTCACAGCATGAAATGGTTTATTTCATTGAATGGTCGTTCCCTGCAAATTAATCATTCGTCAGATGACTACTGAATATGCGTGCCTGACGAGTGGCCAAGGTCGCGAAATTTATCGCTTGCTTCTGGGAAATTCTGCCTTGTTATTCATGTACTACTTGTTATAAAAACATCGAAAATCGGCATTGATATTGAATTTGCTGGAGTTGAACCCAACTAACACAAAATTTAAAAAACCATCGCACTGAAACTTAGATCGTTTATCTCTGATAGACTTTCAGGCATGCACATAAAGTTGCCTTACCCAACAGAAGAATCATCTCTGGAAATTAACTGTACCACTGAATATTCAATAGGTTACTTGTATTGTAGGTGAGCCGGTGAACTAATTACATGGTTTCAAATGTATGCAGTTACGAATCATCGCCGAACATTGGACCCCGTTGGGAAACTGCTTAAGATCAATAACTGATAGAAAGGTTACTTTGTCGATACATTCCCAATGTAGCTTTGGAGTTACAAGTTTCGTATGAGGAGGTGAATAACTGGAAAGGATAGTATTATGACAGTTTAGTTTCTGAGCAATGATACATTTGTGGTTATTACAAGGGTAAACTCACACCGTAAAGTGTACGTCAAAAAGTGACAATAAATTTTAAACTTCGTCTACGGTTCCGCAGCCAATAAAAGGACATGAAAAAGGAGTTACGGAAGAAAATCAGGAATCCAGGGAGTTTTGGCGAAACTCGGGACCTGGTGGGAGTTTGAATGGCAATCGATACTAGTTCTACCAGCACGACTGTCACAACTACATATTCGCCAATGTCGTGGAATGTTTCGGCATGGAGTTTACATTGTTCGCTTGTGTGATTCGAGCAGTCGGGTTGGTTGTGGTGACCAATCCTGTGGTGTGGGTATTATGTGAACGTGGTTGGACAACTGTGGTACGTTTCAGCGGTCGACAAACAAACGCTTGTTCAGCTTTCAAATCTTCCATCTTATCTTCGTGCCACTGATGGATCAGATCCAGAACCGGGCGACTAAATATGGAATTCACAGTCACGTAGATCGCTTGTAGGCTACAAAGCAGCGTGAAAACATGCCACAATGCAACTGAAGCGTAGAAAATCGCCAAGAATGCCATTGTCCATATTAAACAATAGGTTGCAGCCAATTTGACCGTGATCCATAATCGCGCATTCAAATGTGGCAGATGAGCAAGTAAGAAGCCGTCCTGGCGTTCCATGTAACGCATTTTTGCTGCTACCGCGAGACATATCAACTGACCGAGTAACAGTACAGCTATGGTTGGGAAAAACAGATACATATGTTCAAAATCTGGAATCACATTGCAAGAAACGTTCGCGAACTCCATGTGGTCTTCGCTCAAGATAGACTGATTTGGGATTCGGGTACCTGCCAATAGAACACCGCTGGGAAGTAACACGATAGTCAGAAAACATAGGATGATGTAGAACGGTCGACATGTCCAGTGAATGGTCATTCGACCAAGACGAAAATGCACGTTGTCTGTGACAGTTTTCACGGAACCGAGTGGTGTGAGTGTGGCTCCAAGCCACAACTGTCGGCACACATGGACACCGGACATCAGGTTGGTGGCAATCGCAGCCATAATAGTAAAATCCGCCATTTTCCCACTGACCATATTCCACCTAGTGCCATGTTGAGACGAGCAGCTGATTAGCGTTAGAAGCTGAATAAGCATGAAACAAACTAATTCTAAAACTATACAGATTCCATATAAACGACATAATCGACGGAAATAGGTGAGTAAAACGACGTGAGACAGAGAAAATAGAAATGCCAAGGTGAAACAGACTTTGTTGATTGTGTACGTCTCTGAATCAATCAATGGTTCGTCGTTGTGACGTGATACAACCAGGGAATCGTTATACGTATTCGCTGCCGTAGTATGTGATGCATTATGTATACAAGCAAAAATACGTCCACAATCCATGGGCAAAATTGGTTTTAATCAAATCAGGTCATCACAATAGCATTCCCCACCGCAAACAACGTTCAGGA